CCATAAATCAGCTAGTCAAAATTATAATTCAACAGGGGAAAATTACAATTTAGTGTGATTTTTTTTCAGAAACCGAAGGGGGTGGGTCAGGACTTTGTGTCTCCTTTGACAAGAAGAACGCTCTGTTGTAACCTTAAGGATTTTAACCAAATTACCAGGTTTTGCGAAAGAAAAAAATCTGTCAATCTCCAGATTCCCCAACTCAGAGCAGGGGCGGATTTAGGCCGTCTTCTGGGTCTTCCAGAAGACGGTCAGACTTTCAAGTTAACATTGACGGGTATCTAATTTTTTCTGTTGGAAGACGGTCAAAATTGGACGATGAATCAACAAAGATAATTTGGAAGACTGTCAGTAAATAGCTCTGGATCCGACCCTGCAGAGGATGGTAGGTCTGCAGACGGCTGTGCAGACCGAGCCAAGCACAGTACAGTAAACTTAGGGACGTTCTGCGCATGCGCTCAACAAATATACATCCATGTGAAGGAGGATCCTATAAACCTGCACTTCGTGTAGTACATTACATTAAGGCTGTAAGGCTAAAGCAGAAATTTCATTAAAAATTTCCTTAAAAATATGAGTCGTTTAGGAGCTGAACTGACCTTAGAACAGGTCGATGATTGGTTCAGAATTGGAAGAGCAGTCCCCAAAGTTCAGACGGTCCCTCGGAGCAAATCTGGAGGGAGAGAGTTGAATCAGAACATGCAACCTATAGTGAAACCAGCGCGTCCATATGTACCGCGGTATAAAAGGTAATTGAAAATATGTAATGTATTTGAAATCCTTGTTTGATACACATGCGATGCGAATTATTGTTTTGGATATCTTGTAAATCGTTATTTATAAATCCTTTGGGGGGGGGGGGGGGAGGTCGCATGCTGGGTACTTATATATAATCACCTGACTTTAAAAAGCACATGTCGTGTTATCAAATTAAAACGCTAGGAATCTCCCCACTTTGTGTGTCATATTGCAGCTTGTAGCATAATCCCAATCATTGTCCTTTTGCTCTAAACATATAAGGCCAAAAACTGAGGCAAGGGGGTGGAGGTCTGTGTGTATAGTTAACCTAGCAAACTCAAAGTAACTGCAAAGCCTGGAAGCTAGGTTCAGTATTAATATACATTAGTGGATACACCATAAGTCAGCAAGATGTGACATTCATAAGTGCTAAGTATGGTCACATGCATATGACTCTGACCTGAAAGAAATTCACTGAGCAAATGTGCATTTGGTTATATGTACACTTCGTGGTTCTGAATAAACCTGTGGTTGGCCTGGGCCCCGTAACTCGAAAGCATTGCACGTCTTGATTCTATAACTCGCCCATGCTCGCCCTATATAATACACTGTAGTCTATCCGATATCACTATTCGCAGTACGCGATGCTTTTGAGTTATGGGGGCCTGGTTAACTAGCTGCAGTCAAAGGTCACAGAGGTTCCAACATGACAAAGGGAGCTTGATGGCCGGGAAATTGAAAAATGTGCTGAACTACCCATGACTGCATTTTCTATTTTAAAATGTTTCCTTTGCAGACACACAAGAGAAGGCAACCCATATCAAACACAATATGCCAAACATTATCAGGATGTAGAAAACAGCCAGTTAATCAGTGGTGGGGTGTGTACTAGTACTGACCAGGTAAGGTCTTCCTTACACAATGTGTGCATTTTAAGAACTCTCCATTGACAATTTATTTCTTAAACTACCTTTTGACAGAGGGAAAATAATAGCCAATTATTAAGTGAACTCTTTGGTTGTACAACCTACAAGTATCCAAATATTGTATTATATGTTGGCATTCTTTTTTCTTTCAGTCTCTCGGCAGAGATTCTGATACTTCACATCAGCTGGATTTAGAAGGTATAAGTGACACCATGAGTACAGTGAGTTTCTTGCCAGAAGAACCTCCAAATTCCACTGCTGTGTATAGAAATTACAACTTTGAGCACACATATGATAAGAATCTACCTATTACACACTATCATGAAGATGTGAGTTTGATCATTGTATTTTTGTTGTTGTTTATATATATTTGCCTAGATATTTTTATGTATTGAGGTATATTTTTGTAAACTTTATAAATTTTGTACTCTCTGAATTTCAGTATGAAATAACAGTTATCTGAAATAAAAAAATAAGTAGTTTGTTTGGTCCTAGTCAACTTGTTCATATGTACAATTTATCATCTTTTATACAATGTTTCAACTTTTGCTGCGTTTTATCATCAAATGACATACAAGCTATTGAATTTTTGCAAATTATTTCAGATACATATGAAGTTGACAAACTTGTTATGTTAAATGCATGCATTGTTCATTAAGCAAAGATCAGTGGAAACTAAAGAAGCTATTTACATTGTAATTTTTTATCATATCAAATGATTGGGCATTTTTAAAAACAAATGACAGCAGCTTTAACTTGTACATTTACTTCAACATATTTTAGGTTGTGGATACCATTGAAAGCAACAGAGTGACCGTCATCCAAGGATCTACAGGTTCTGGCAAAACAACCCAAGTGCCACAGTACATTCTGGATCACTATGCACAAGCTGGGAAGTACTGTAATATTGTTGTCACTCAGCCAAGGAGGATAGCAGCAATGAGCATTGCTAGGAGGGTGTGTCAGGAGAGGGGCTGGAGATTAGGCAGTGTGGTGGGATATCAGGTAAGTTTGAATGTCAAACATATGGAAGTCACTTGTAAATTTTTTGATAGATAAAGGTAGACACCTACCTGCAACCTTTAATTAGTGCTTATACCCATGTCTTATAAAACTGTCCCCCCCCTCTCCCCTTCCTTCAGTAGAAAAATTGATAGCAGTTTCTATATGTTTT